TTGAATGCTTGCGCGTTCTACTCAAATTTACATATTCTGGCATTGGCAGTTCCAGGGGAAAGTAAGGATTGACAGGAGATAGTTTAAACTTAAAATAAATGTTAGTTAAAATAAATATAAACCCTACAGTAACTTTTTGCCTAGCCACTGAAAATTTTAAAAAAAAAATGTCGACGAGCATTTTCTACACCTCCAGCAGACTTTTAAGTTCAAATGTGAAAGGTGCGTCGGAAGTCAGCTCTCCAAAAATCGATTGACAGCTTTAGTGTGTTCTAACTTATATAATATGTCTGGCAATGACAAAAAGAAATTATTAGTTATTGGTAAGTCTAACCCTTGGTGTTTCAAGCATGTAAAAAAAATTCCTGTTGATTATGACTACAGCAAGAAAGCCTGGAAGGTCGGATGAATCAGACATTTTTTATAAATATCAGCGAGCTGTATCAGTAGAAAGAATGTACACAAATAAATACAAAGAACTGTCAAAGAATGTAATTAGTATTCGTAAGACCATATATATATAAAACTATATGAGCAAAAGCTCTTATAAAAGTGCTTACACAAAATGCAAATAAAATTTTAATGACATTTTTTGGAAATTTATACCGATGGATGCCATTGTGGAATCACAAACACTTAAACTGGGGGCACATATGGCTGTCATACACTTTAACAGAGGGCTTTTAGGCTTGTTAGATGTTTTAAATTGCATAGGTATGCAACATGGTGAATATGTAATCGAATGATTTAGTAAGCTCGAAATGGAACGAATAAGTGAATCAAAATATCACTCACTACCCAGAGTAAAAACTGCCACCAAAAAAAAAAAAGAAAGAAAAAAAACGCTGAATATAAACAGCAAAACAGATATATTTGAACAAAAGGAAGGTGTAACCTATAGATATGGGAAGCTTTAGGTATCTGAAGATTTATTAATAAAAATATAGCACTTTAAACTTTAAATGCCTTACGCTCAAAATCTACTTTTTTAAAAACTTGCTTTTTTGGTGCAAGATAAATCAAATTACTTTTAATTTATTTTTATGCAACTTTGTATACTTAATCTATATATAGTTATTAGGTAATGACATACCAGAATATTTATATGCTAAATATTTTTGATATTGTGGCCTTTTATTTAAATAGTGACATCGTGAATTTATCGAAATTCTCATAAAAAATTTCAAAATTCTGAATTTTTTTAGTTTTTAAGATTTTTTTTAAATTCTACGTCATTTTCTAGATAAAAGCATGTAATTTATTATTGCATGAAATATTTTAGTATAACTTTCAATATTTTTCCATATAGAAAGTTTCAAATTGTTTTAAAATTTGCAAGATCTCATTGCCTAGCAAACTAGTTTCTCATTGAGGAAATGATTCTTTCTGCAATAAGCCCTCCCATTTTCGAATGAACAAGCACCACATTCTTCCATTCTCCCAGAAACAAACCTCTAATTCTTCAGATTGCAGCTTTTTTGCTAATTCTTCAGATTGCAGCTTTTTTGTGGTTATATACGGTATAGAAAGAAGAGTTTCCAGTTTTTCGACATCATTACAGTCTTTCTATTAGTGAAACATTAGGGTTATCTACATCTTCTAAAAAAGTTCTTAATTCTAACAACCTCTTTACCATCAAATATGTACTTTCCCATCGCGTTGCTTGATCAATAATTGCTCCTTTTCCTACTCACCTTCTAAGAACGGCATCAGTTTTGGGAGTTCTTGCTGCTATTGCTGCTTGCCTAAATTTACCAATGAGATTTCTAGCATGAGGTTCCTTTAACCCATTTCTAACAGCAAGCTTCAAAGTGTGAACTATACATCGCATTTGCTTCGGCAACAACATCTACAGCTTTATATGTTTCGCAAGAAAATAGTAAAGTTGAATTAAATTTAAATAATTCAAGCGAATGCGGCAAGGAATGAAATTTGAATTTAATAAATATTTTCTATTCATATAAAGCAAATATCAAATTCTCTATTCGTATAAAGCAAATATAAAATCAAAATTTAAAATTAAGAAATTTTAGTTGCAAAGAAATAAAAATAAAAATAATGATTATTGCTATCAACTAATTTCTAATTTACAATATCATTTAAATTCTAAGAGCATAAGTAAATTAATTGCACTTATCTAAAACCATAAAAAATATATTAATCCAAAAAATTAAATTTATTATTCCTAAAAATTGCATAAGTGAATAATTGTTGAGCAGGCAGGAGACAGATTTATCAAGGGCAAGTTGCCCCCATACCTAACTCTTCAATTACTCAGTTCGTGTTTCGTCATCCATATAGGCAAGGGTAAAAGTAAAATTCAAAACCAAAAGTAAATCAAATGCTGTGAATCACAAAAAAAAAAAAAAAAAAAAAAAAAAAGAAATTTAAACAGTGGAACTTTGAGAAAATAGCAAGTAAATGATTAGAGTTAAAATTAAATAAACGTCAATTAAGAGTAGAAAACCAAAGTAATTTAGAAAATCTTGCCTTACGTGTAGGAAACTTTCCCTACACGAATTATGCATGTAAACCTAAAATAAACTATACATTTTTTTCAAAAAATTTTACTCTAGTTTTTTGCAACATCTATTTTCACAACCAGTAGCAGTGCATTTTTTTACTTTTACAATGACAACATTTTTGCATACTAACAAGCATTTTACGTTTCGCATTTTTGGAATTTACAACATGGTTTTTACCACCATGGTTCTCACAGATAGCAGCTTTACATTGTATGAGAGACCTCTATTTTTACAGTTAGCAGTACAAACTACTCAACTCTACTTGTTTAGCAAATGCTGGCACAGATCAGAAATTCAAATATGTAACTAGGTAAGTTAAATTAAAACTTTCTATTTACTTGCCTTTTTATTGTTCTTATTTTTGTATTTTAATTATTGTATATAGTTTATTTTATGTTTACATGCACAGTTCGTACATGCATAGGAAGCTTCCTGTAGGCAAGAGTTTCTAAATTACTTTGGTTTTCTAAAAAATTTGTTTTTCTACTGTTAATTGACTTTTAATTAATTTATTTCATTTTAACGCTAGTCATTTACTTGCTATTTTCTCAAAATTCCCCTGTTTAAATTTCTTTTTTTTTTTTTTTTTTTCAAAATTCCACTGTTTAAATTTCTTTTTTTGTAATTCAACAACATTTGATTTTACTTTTGGTTTTGAATTTTACTTTTACCCTTCCCTATATGGATGACGAAAAACGAAATGAGTAATTGAAGAGTTAGGTATGGGGGCAACTTCCCCTTGATAAGTCTGCCTCCTGCCTGCTCAACAATTATTCACTTATGCAATTTTTAGGAATAATAAATTTAATTTTTTGGATTAATATATTTTTTATGGTTTTAGATAAGTGCAATTAATTTACATATGCTCTTAGAATTTAAATGATATTGTAAATTAGTTGATAGCAATAATCATTATTTTTATTTTTATTTCTTTGGAACTAAAATTTCTTAATTTGAAATTTTGATTTTATATTTGCTTTATGCGAATAGAGAATTTTATATATGCTTTATACGAATAGAGAATATTTGTTAAAGCTTTAGATGACTATTCTTGAGATATTTTAGTATCTAAGGCAGTCCTTTTTTCATATTTGTAACAATTTCCTTATCTTCCTTCATCTTTTGTGTTGTTTTAACCATATTAGATACTTTTTAGTTTCAAATTTGGGGACTCAACATGCATTTTGCAGCAAACATAGGCTCTTTTTTCTTGTTGTGAATTATGCTACAATAATGTCATTTATCAGTTGAATAAGTAACTAAATTAATTTAATGAATAATGGCAAATATCACATCCATCTTCCATCCTTATTTAATAATATATCAATAAAATATAAAATAATTAAATATTTATTAATGTATATTGTCTATAAATAAAAATAATAACTCAGTTTGTCATTAATGTTTTTTCCAATTCACTTTAATTTCATTTTGAATTCAAACTGTCCAACAAAAACAGGAGTCCGAGTCGGAGTGTTTTTAGCGACTCCAACTCCGACTCCTTTTACTCGAAAATCTGATTCCAAATCCACAGCCCTGGTTTTCACATCCTCTTTCCACAAAAAGAAAATGATTGCTCCTCACATTTTCCAAGGCTGCAAAAATAGTAGTACAAAAATATACCTATATTTACTCGAACAACTAAAACGGACAAAACAGTACTGACCGGAATAGGTACATAAACATATCAAGACTTGCCTCTGGCCGATGCGTTGCCTATAAGTCCTCAAAAATTAAAACTACAACTCAATTCCTAGAACTGTGGAAAGATCCCACGTAAATAACACATAGCTAAAGTGATACATTACAAGTTCTTATCTCTACTCTCTTATCTCTCTTAACCTTAACTGTAATATCTTTTTAATCCCTTTATTATTGTTTTAATGCCTTCTCAAGCATTTTATGTGTTTGACATACGCACTAGTACGTTTAAAATTCTAAAATATATTATCAGTAAAATACCTTTATGTTACAAAAAATCAACCAAATGAAGAAATTCAATGTAAAGTTATAAAGGACACACGTAAAATTTATTGTTGATTGCAATTTCTCTAAGACTTTGGTCAAACTTCATTAACGCGTTGTTATTGCAGTAGGCGGCTATAAAACTAATATGCAGTTGCAATGCGAAGCGAAATTTGGAGTCTTTCCTAAAACTTCGGTGCATATTTTAAAACTTTATAACAGCAAATTTTAAAAAAATATGAACAGCATCAGTAAAAGTGTTTTGTAAATCTCTTCTTATAGTATGCTAGAAAGCATACAATGCAAAAAAAAATCATACGTTAAGCATATTATGTAAACTATAATATTACTACAAACTTTGGAATACTAATCTAGTAATTAATTATATGCTGTACCGCAATGGAAATTTATTTACAGCGTAAGTTATAAGAGAAACTTTTATAATAAACAGAAAAATACATTTGCAACTTTCTTAGATACTAGATAAATATGATCTACTCAGTTATTTACCTGAGTCCTCGGATATGGTAGAGATGTTGGAAGAGTCAGCATTAATGGTACTTCGTGACAGCCAATGCATTCGTTTTTCTGGAATAATCCTGCTGTTTGCTACAAAGTAGAAAATTAATATTTAATCTAATCTCAAGATGAAAGTTAATTTAAAATAGAAATACTGACTGATAAAAGAAGGAGACAACAATTCTATTTGTCTGTGTGTCATGAACGTAGCAAGTGATTAAATTCGTTTGCAACATTAGTTACTGTTCCTACACAATTAGATCATATAAATTGTGTTTATGGATGTGAATTTAATTTTCAATATTTAATCCATTAATGATATTTTAGAGAATTTTAAATATTACATCTCAAGTCATTAATATTTCGAAAATATTCATTTTACAAGTTGAGTTGTTCTCTTCTCTTTTTTCTTTTGAGGTGCTGCATATGCAAATATGAATACATTAGAAAGGGCAATTCTCTTTCCAATGTTTATATATATTGGAACATAAAAAGATAAGCCAGATAAATGGAATAATTATATGATTATCATGGCTTCATCATTTTTTGAAAATTATAGGCTTTCTTAGAAACAGTGAGAAAAATTAGATTTAAAAATGTTTTAGGGAAAAACTAATTTATAAATTATGGAATCTATGAAACAATCAGTGTATGAGTAGTATGTTTAGCGATTGAAAGTCTTAACCATAATAGTGAAGTGAAATCATCACACAGATTATTTTTACTGAATGATATTTTGAATCACCAAAATTAATGTTTATGTTATTAAAAATGTGATTTATAAATGAGATACTGATTTATACTACGTTAGAACATAAAACCATTGCTGTTTAAATATGTTTAATATTGCGCTCTTTTTTTTTAGCGCAAAAGTGAGTTAGTCCAAAAGGGCAATTAATCTCGAAATAGGATTTTGAGTCATTGACTATAAACGGCTGTAACACTTTTCAAATTGTTGCCACCAAATATTATCGCCCAGTATTATCTTTAAAGAAATTAAATAACGAAGAATCTGCATCTATGTATGTATGTTCTTAGAACTGTGAACGACGGCACCTAGAGGCACATTTTGAATAACGTAGTCCTCCACACGATCACGTGCACACGGATGCCAAAATTTTGAATTTCCAATTTTATATGTCATACTAGCAGGCTACGGCCAAAGCAACAATACATTGTGCTGAAAAACGGAAAATAAAATGAACTATTAAATTAATAAACTATCAACAAAGTTGCTAGCTGCTACCAAAGCAAAATTTATGAATTCTATCTATACCTGAAAAGAAGATGCATGAAAATTTTTCAATATGAATGAAATCAGTTCATTCTTTCCAAGCGACAACCAATTGGTAAAATTTTTTTGCTGCCAAACCAGGAAACAAAAACTTTGGACACTTCAAGTTAATATGTATACGCCTGAAGTCATGATGTAAATTTGGCTAAAGTGCAGAATCGTCCACCTATTTGATTGGCGTTTGTTTGGCGCTTTTTACAAGAGTAAGAAGAATTGAATTTTTGTCAATTTTCTTTGACTTTTTACGTGAATGTATATGAATGTGTACATGGTTAAAGTCAAGGGAGTGCAATTTTTGTGCAATTCTGGGATTTTTTTTTAAAGTGAAAATAGGTCGATGTGTACATGGATTTCTTAAAAACGCGCCAAGCAGTGGACGGTTTGCACTTTCCCCGTAAATTTAATGTAATATAACAACTTTTTCTCAACATCAATAAAAGAATTAACGTAGCAGTAACCCACCGTGTCAATTATCTTAACCTGAAACAAAAAAGTTGCCAATAGGAGCTATTTACTTAAATGCTGACATTAACGGAATATTTTCGACATACAATGACGTCACATGAAATCGAGTGCTTTCTTCAACGTCAGAATATGACTTTAATAATAATATAGTTAATGTTTGGCAATGCTATTTTTTTTATATTTTGTAAAACTTTCAAATTTTTTTATTTACAAACTGTGATTTGAAAGCAAGCAGTAGCAACACTTTTCCAAATAACTCAGATTTTTATCTCCAGTTACTGTTGCCACTCTGAAAAACTGAGAGCGAAAATTAAAAGTTTTAAATTGATATCTCGGCTATTAAAGACGTACGAAAATGAGAATGGTTGAAATGGTTTCCCACAGATTTTTGGAATCCGGTGTACCTTTCTCGAGACTCAACCCCCAGCCATTCCGGTGGAGATAATGCCACAAACAATTAACAGACGGACGCGCACAGATTTTATAAGAATTTGAGAAATTTTTGATAAACAAACTCAACGACTGTAGAGACATTAGGTAATTTCTGAAATCAGGAAAGTTGGAAAATGGGCAACATCCTCGCCGGGACTCGAACCACGGACCTCTCGAATACGCGCCGTGGAGTATGCTGACCACTACACCACGAAGGCATGCTAAGAAGGCGGGAGAAATACCTTATATCATATGAAAGCCAGCAGTGGCAACACTGTGAGAAATAAAACATTTTTATCTCCAGCGCGAGACTGTACATCTCTTTGAATGTAATACAAGGGAATAATAGTTGGTGGCAAAAATTTGAAATGTGATACAGCCGTTTATAGTGATTCGAAGCAAAATGAAGCAAAATGCCGTTTCGAGACTAACAGCCCTTCTGGACTAACGCCAGTAGGCTAAAAAATTATTATCAAGCCATCTTACCAAGAGATTGACATTTATATTATGAACTGAGAAACGACTAAAAAAATATAAATATGCATGCCAACTCTGCATCGAGAACTTTAAACATACGAGGTGTGACACAAAAAATACGAGACTAAGTGTGTAGCTTGAAAAAAGAGTAAAGTTGGCAACAACTGTTTGGAGTTGCAATGATTGAGTGGGTTCCCAGTGATCCGACTGTTAATCAATACTACGACACTGAAGTACTAAAACGACTACGTGAAAACATTAGAGGCCATAGTTGTGGAGTGATGGATGGCTGTTGCACCAGGACAATGCACCCGCTTACACGGCCCTATCTGTCAAGCAGTTTCTGACCAGAAAAAAAATACTGTGATGGGGCATCCTCCTTATTCACCCGATTTGACTCCATGCGACCTTTTTTATTTCCTAAAAGTTAAATATTTCTTAAAGGGAACTCATTTTACCTAAGCTGAAGAGGTTCAAGCAAAAATGGAGAATCTCCTGAAGATCGTTCCAAAAACCTCGTTCCAAAGCTTTTGTTACCAGCAATGGCTGCTCCGAATGCAGAAGCGTGTGAATGCTGAAGGGAACTACTTTGAAGGTGATAATGCCACGGAGAACTAATTCTGCATGTAAAATTATTTATTGGACCAGTCTCTTTTTTCTCTCTCTCTCTGTGTCACACCTTGTATGCTGCTTTTAAAATATTTGTAATTTTGCTGTTGAGTTGTAAATGTCATAAGTGCGAAGAAAATAAAGCTTAATTATAATAAGCTAAAAAGGCAAGAAGAAATCGGTCAGCAAGAATGAGTGCAACAGCAGACTGGAACACTGCAAGCTCAGCGAGAACGCAAAAATCCTTAACAAATCCTTTTGGGCGATCCTTAAAATCTAAACCCTTTCAGATTTTTATTGTATTTTTTACATATGATGGAGTGAAGTTTTAATTTTTTTTAAAGTTTTCAAAATCTAACTTATATACATTAAAAACTAGAGTATATGTTTAAAATAATATTTTACATTAATTACTTAAAATAAACTTTACCTGAACAGAAATGAAAATACACATAATAAAAGTAATTAATAGTTAAAGAATTTTAAGCATAAGATATTTTGACTTCTATATAATTTTAATGATCGGCTGAAAACGGAATTTTTCTTTGCATTATTTTTTTATAAATTAAGAATGAAAAGTTAACATACTCAAAGTGTATTTTAAAATTTCTGTTCAATGGCATCTAATTTGCACTGACCTTCCTCTGAATAATAAAATTAAGAAGTTTTGTTTTAGCTCTAATTTATCTAGCCATAGTTATAATTAATTCAAATTTTAACTATTATGTTACTATTTAACTATGATAATTAGTCAGCTTTAATTTACCTAGTCAATGCAATCATTTGTTCAAATTTTGTCTTCAGTTATATGAGACACATCAAATTCAAAAGTTAAAAGTTTTCAATTATACACTACCAACTCTCATATATTAACTTTCAACTGGTCAAAATATTAAGAAAATTAAATCATTAGCTAAGAAACGTCTTTCTATAATGACCAGGAAATTATAAAATACAAAACATTAATATAATTTATTTTTATAACAATTAAATTACTCTACACTTATATAATTAAAACTAATTTTAATAATCACCTCGAGTTCTAAATTGATTGCTGTCAATTCACTTCAGAAAACTAAACAGTGACCTGAATTACGTTGACGGAGTGTCATTTTCCCTCTCGGGATCGCAATATAAATAGCGCTATCTGCATAGTCAGCAATTTTGCTGCCATCTGTGAAGATCTTAGTAGCATTTTGGGGGGTTATTGTCTGTTACCTCCAAGGCCAACTGAGACGTGGAAAATTTACAGCGAAAGTGAAACCTGGAGAGTTCCTCTGATGGGTTTAAACAGCAGTGCCGTGAATGAAGATCAACATTGCAAAATAGTAGGCTTTTGCAATCAACTAGGCAAGAAAAAGTGTTTTTCTTTATACTTTGTCGGTTTTTTCCATTTATTTAAGTACGCTGGAGTTTTATTGTATTGGCCATTACTAGAAAGTTTGTTATTTAACAAGATCAGCTGATCTTGTTAAATAACAAACTTAACTCTGAAATAACTCTGAAGATGCTGTAAATTGGCCTCAAAAAGGGTTATTTCCCTAGGGCAGCTGTGCCTCAAGCCAGTAATAATCGGGCAGCAGTTAATTGAACTTTTTAAAATTTCTTCAGGTAGGAATCAGAGGCAATAAATTGGAAATCCGAACTCAAGTATGGGACGAATGAGTGTCAAATAAGTAGTTCTGAGGGTAATCGCATCAGCTCCCCCCCCCAAATCTTTTTAAGAATCTTTAGTCACTTTCTACTTTTCAGAACAATATGTTCAATATGCTTGTGAGATGTGAATTCATGGTCTAGGATAATCCCCAGATATTTAGAGTGCTTCTCGTAAGTACGTTCCTGATTATTAAGCGTCTACTTAGACTGATATTTATAAATGTGCTTATTTGCAGTAAAAAGTAACACTTGATTTGGCAGGGTTAAAACATAGTTTCAATTCTGCAGCAAAGTTTGACAAAACTGTCAGAGAGTTATTATGTTTCAATTCTATTTCAGTTATATTGTAAGGATCTTAAGTTTTACTAACGTTTATTTTTATTTTAAATCTTTACTATCACTTCTTATTTTCTACTTTAGGCCAGAATTAAAAGCTTTAATTTATTTATGCAAATTTGTCTGGCGAACGCCAAGTACTTAAGTTGTGGCTTTTTGCCAAGCGAGGAAGGAGTTAGTCGAAGCAGGCCGCTTGCCTTAGAAGTTTTACTCGGTTGCTGGTTGCCTTCCAGGCCAGAGGTTTAATCCTCGTGATAATTTTTTAAACGTATTGTAGTGTTAACAGTTCTCTGTACTACATACGGCTTCCTGTTAATATACGGCCAATCTTCCACGTTTATTATTCCAAAGTTAAGTTAGAGTTTAGTTAAATATTTTTATATTCTTACGTTCAGACCACAAGTAGTTGGTCTCTGTATTCCGAAGTACGGAAATTATTGTAAATAGTGAAAAATAAAGGGTTTCGTATACCCTTCCTGTGTATCTTGTCTACTTCCCACATTTATTGAACATAGCTTTAGTAAGCTCCCTGTTCCGAGTCAGGTCTGTGCATGTTCCCAAAGAAAGTAAGACGGAACATTGAACCTGATAATATTAGTGTTAGAGCTCCAGAGAACAATGTCGTCTGCAAATATTCCGATTCTTACATCCGAAGAAGGCACTTTCTCCAAACCAGTCATAAACATGGTGAAGAGCGTAGGGCTAAGAACCGATCCCTGAGGGTCACCTTGGCTGAGCCTATAAGAGTCTGAGATAATTTTATTAACTTTTACCTTAGAATGTCTTTGCTGCAGGAAGTCTGCTATCCATGTTAAAGTATTTCCTCGAAGGTTAAAAGTGTTATGTAGTTTTAAAATCAGTTTGTGCTTCCAAACCCTCCCAAGTCCTGCTGATTGCCTCATCATGGTGGGAGGGAGTTCTGGGGCGGAATTGGGTAAATTACGTCGGGAGTTCGTACATTCCAGTTTTCGTAATATATCTAAGTGTTTTACATTAAAAGACAGATCTCAGGTAGGCCTTTACGATGCTTCGAATGAGATGTTAGTCTAATGGGATATTATTCTCGAAACGGCATTTTGGAATATTAGTCTCGAAGCGAAATTTTGCGTTGAATCACTAAAAACAGCGTATCACTTTTCAAAATTGTTGCTACCAAATATTACCGCCCTGTATTATATTTAAAAAATTAAACAATGAAGAAACTGCACGAATGTATGTATGTTTCTCGCACTGTGCAAAAATAACAGTACTTAGACCCATCAAATTTTAAATAATGTAGTCTTCCACTCGAACATGAGCGCCTGGAAGCCTGAATTTTGAATTTCAAATTTGTTTTCTTATCTAGTTCACGTTCTGTAAAATGTTTTTGTATAATACGCAAATTTGGAGTTCACTAAAATGGAATTTTGGGATGCGTGACCAGTTCCTCTGAATTCCCTCAGAACGAGTCATTTTTAATAACTATAACCGTTGCCAAAAAACACTGACGATGCCAAATTTCGCTACAAGACCCTCATAATTTAAAAACTCTTACTTGATATCTTTTTCCAAGCAAAAGGAGTGACAAAATTTTGAAACAGAACACGTTGTAAATTAAGAAAAGAAATTGCACTACATGAAATACTTCAAGTCGTATGGGCAGAAATCTATATCTAATGAAATTCTACGAAATAAGTTTAAATGAAATGCAGTAAATTATTTTTTTACTTTAAAACCTCCACAAATATAAATTTGTTAAACTTGCAATGTGAACTAAAGCTGTGACAGACTTTGGAGCCAGTTCTTCTCCAGGTATCCGATTGAGTTCGCAATATTGATTATATTCGCAATATTTCTCAATTCGCAATATATGAATTGATGGCGCTTTTCTTAACGAAATTTTTATTGACAAACTCGGAGATTTCTCATGGAGCCAGTGGCAACACTTTACGGAATAAAACATTTTTCTTCAGTGCGCGAGACTGTCTATCAGAAATTATAAAGATATGCTGTTTTTAAATAGTTTGGGATTTTGCTGTTGAATCGAATTTTATGCGGTGTAAGTGATAGTTAATAAATAAAATAAACACACAAGGCATTAATAATAAAAAGACAAAAAAAAAGTTCGGTAAAGTCAACTTAAGAAGAAAACTGTAAAAAGAAACAAAATGGGTCTGTAGGAGTAAGTGTAACAGCAGACTTGTCGACTGCGAGGTCAGTGACAGCATACAAAACATTAACTTTTAGGTTAAATTCTGGAATCCTTTCAAAAAAGAAATTTTTTTCGGGGGGGGGAGTTAAATTTAAGTAAATTATTTAATAATTAATTGAATACGCTAGAAATATTTGAAAGGAATATCAGTCTAATTTAACTGTCGTTATGTTGGAATTATAAATTGTAATCGAGAAATTTCCCTTGCAAATACCGAACTTTAGATTTCAGAAACAAAATAAACAGAAATTTGAGTTTTACCCATTATGATATGCACATGTTATATCCAGTCAAATACACAAAATTTCGACATTCTGAGGCTACTCGTTTTTGAGTTATGCGAGATACATGCATACGTACCGCACACCAAAATCTCGATCGGCGCACAGATGGACGTCTCAGAAAAAGTAGCATTCTGGCGAATTGCCACAACTGTATGTCTCAATTAAACATTTGTTCGCTATTTAAAATCAACATAATATACCCTCTATGGTGGTCGATAGAAGAAACAGAAGGTCCAAAAAATTTAACATAAAAGTAGATCTTATCTAAAATAAACCTTACAACATTAAAATTTGAATTTTAACATATCGTTAAAAAAATGTAGAAAGTATTTATTTCAGAAAAAAAAACATTCTAAAGTTACATATTAACAGATAAACTTCCCATAATGGTTAAAACAGCACCGTTGTCACAAATTGAGCCCATTTTCAAAACCAGCATAATAAGAATACTTAACTGTTATTCGTATTCCAGTTAAATAAAGCCATGATGGATTGAATTACCTAATCGTTATTAGATATAGTACGGTTACCTTTCATAGATGCAGATGATTCCTTGAAGTTTTTTTTAATCAATTTATGCTACACATGAACAAACACCATGTTAACAGAACGCAGACAGTTCATTCAACCAAGGAAAACTACCAGTATTCTGTCGCTTTAGCCATTCATCACCCATCCATCTATCAACTGGAAAACTTCGAACACGAAATTCATTTAACTTGATTCTCTCCAGCCTAAAAAACTCTGATTTCTTATCACACTTAACCAGTTTTGTCTACAATTAAAAATTTCATATACGAATACAAAATTCTAAAAACTTTTACTCCAAATGTAAAAAGGGCAAATATCAAATAATAATACACAATATTACCATTTAAAATACTTGCAAAACAAAGTTCTAGGTTAAATCCTATAGTACTAAAACTGCATACAATTAATTTCGAACTAACATCTGCTTTAAATGTATCAGTATTATTAATATTCCATTTTGATATGCCAACGTAAAGATTTTTAAGAATGAAGTTAAGATATTTATTCTTTCATAAAAGTTAATGTTTTTTTTTTTTTTTTTTTTTTTTTTTTTTTTTTTTTTCCATTTTTTAAAAATGAAATGTTTTTCACAAATATACTCATGAAACATATATAACAAGTGGAAGACAAGCTTTAAAACAAGAAAAACGAAATCAAACTAAATAATTCTAATAGACTATTTTAATGTGTCATATTACTGTTATGATTCTATATTAAATGACATCATAACATAAAGATATTTTTAAATAATTGCAAGAAAAGTACTTGTCTTTTTTTCATAAATTATTATTTTTCATTTTGTTCTATTATTTTTTATTTAGTAAAGTCTTCAAACTCGTTTAAGCAAACACTGTCATTAAATATAAACAATAAGTAGACAAGTTCATCACATGAAACAAAACCGTGATCCAAGTTGTAAACATTTATAAATACCATACTAATGTAACCATTATACTTATAGTAATAACACAGAAGGAAAACTAGTATGATTTCCATCAAACAAAATTTATTGTTTTTTATTTAAAGACACCTCATAGGTATAAAATCATAATAAAGTGAACACAATGCTGCAGTTTTTATACATGTATTAATCATTATTATTACAATACTTCATCTGTCTTTTTCACATTTAAGAAAATTGTGTAATTGGTGTGAAAACGAAACTTTCAATCCGAGAGTAAGATAACAAAATACCAAATGGAAATTTTACAACCGAAATCTCTACTAGTCAGGCTATACTAAAATAATTCCACAAAAATACATGCTCACATTTTAAAGCAATATTTCAATGCTAAAACAGCACAATAGCGCATTACTTACACGGGAATTCCCGTAATATCTAAACGATAGCTCATTCCCTACGCCATTTTTAGCAGCGGAAAGAAATAATATATTTTACCTGCCATTCCTTCCGGTGAATAGACACGCCTCTAATACTGTACAAGTTTCCTTACAGTGAACACAATTTAATGAATCTTACGAAATATACTGTTTTTAATCGAACGAAAGACATTAATTTCTAAAATAATCCCAACGATAAACAGTATCTTAACGTAAGAAAAACGAAATTATGATGAGGAAGTACTCCAGTCGAATCTAAAATAAAAATAAAAAAAAAACCACCCACGTGACTTGTTGCGACGGAGAATGATAAACACGTTATCAACGCACGATTGCTGAGGCACGGTTGATGCCTTTTGAATTGATTCTTTTTTGAGTTTTCTATTACTTGCTTTTTTTCTGCGTCTAATAAACTAATGAAACAACTAAAGTATGACATTTTTAGGTGTAAGCAGTATTGTAGGACACTTGTCTGAAACTGAAATTTCATGCGGGCCGAATGCACAACCCGAAAATAGCTGACATTCCCATATATATATATATATATATATATATATATATGTAAATTTTAACAAGATAAAAAAGCTTATCAACAGAATAAAAAGTATTTTAACTAAGTTTTAAATTTCGCTTGCTAAATATTTATCAAAACATGCATAAAAATTCATCATAATAACGCAAAGGAAAAATTCAAATTTATACATTTTTCTATGCGAAATCTAAAGTTTGTTCTTGCAAGATATTTTCTACTAATTCAAGCATACTATCAGTTAATAATAGTAATTAAGATTGACATTTATTTCAAATGATTCTAATACATTTAATTAATCTTGAACTCATTTTAAAAATTTACTGTTATTTAAACTACAAATGAACAAATGATGAAAACTTTAACTTCAAAGAAAACTTTCCAAGTGGCACAAAATTTTAGGATAAACAGTAATAACCTATTCTCTTTCTCTTATTAGATAATTTTTTGGTACATGAATATCAGGTTTTAATGAAAGTTTCTCGCCCTCGCAAATATCGTCTGTGCAAACAGTTCGCGTTGGCGGTTTTAATCATATTTTGTCAAACGTTTTTGGAACTTGAAAGAAAGAGACTTGCTTTAGAACACTATGTTGTAAAATTTGTAAAACAATATCGTTGTCATTAAGTACAAGGTGGTCTGAAATGGAACTATCACGCTACCAGATTAGAACCACCATTTAATTCCAGTTCTGTTTCCAAAAATCAGCTTCAGAATGTCACCATATGATGTGTGGTACTTTAGAAACTGTATCATATGACACTGTGAAGGTTTGCTACCTGAAGTTCAAAAAAAAGGACAGTGACACTCAAGAAGCAGACTGCTCTGGCCGCCTGCGTTGTTGATGAGACTCGCCTGCCAGAACATGTGGAACAAGATCAGTATGCAACTATTCGAGAGCTTGCTAAGGAGCTAGACGTTAGTGGCTATGTCTATTAGTCCCGCTATGCATTGCATAAATTTGACCTACAAGTTCAATCGCTGAGTGCCTCATGAGCTTACTCAAGCAGATAAAGACAGACGTGTTCAGGCCTGCACTAATCTGTTCGAATGTCAACGCAAGGACAAAATTCTGAATCGGATGGTCACTTGTGATGAAAAGCGGATTTCCTTCAATAACAATTTCTGTGTTATTGTTACGTAACAATAACACAGAAAAGGGGGGTAATCTGCGCACGGTGAGCCCGTCAGCAGAGTCGCAAAGTGCGATTTGAGTAACAAAAAGATCATAGTTTGTATCTCATGAGATTGCCGTGGTATCACCTACAAAGAGTATCTGTAAAAACGTAAAACCCTTGTCAGTAAGCTGCACAGCGAGTTGCTAACCGGAGTTGACGCGGCTATCAAGGAAAAACGGGTAACTGAATTCCGGCGCAAAAGAGTTATGTCAAAGAGTATTAACTAACGTAGTGTTGTTACCATAGATAAGCTCTGGAACACTTAGTTCTGCTTAGGAAATTATGCGTGATTGTGGCCTTCAGGGCCGACACGAGATGATATTGTTCATCCAGATGCACTGAAATTACAACAATGGCATTCTTTTTTTTTATTTATGAAAGCTTTTATTCGACGTCAACAAGAATAATTTTTAAAGTTTTGACATACTTTGACATTATTAGGTTTATAAAGTTCTCATCATATATGTGCATCTAAAATTAATGTCTTTACCAGAATTTGTTTCTTACAGTCTTGAAGCTTACAGATTTTAAATGCTCACTTTCAACTTTATTTACATATGATGTATTGCTGATTATTAGCGTGGGAAAAAATCCTTTTTTTCATTGATTTTTTTATATGTTTCAAATCTATTATTAGCATTTAAGAGAAATATTAACATTTTTGTATATTCTAATTATGCTTTGAATGCTATTCCCGCGAATAAATAGAAAACACATTTCTTTATATCAGCATATCTTCAAAAGAAATAATCTAATAATTG